TAGGGTTTAGGGTTTAATATTCCTTAATATAAAATGGTGCTCTTTTTTGTGATTGGTGGGTGGAGGGAGTGGAGGGGGGTTCTCATGAGGGGCAGGTAGCTGGGCCACTTCCTAGTTCCTAGTAATCATAAACCACTGTTATCTGTACCTTTTGCCCCACCTGCAAGCCCCCGAGATCCGCTTATAGTTGGGTTATAGGTACACTGATAGCTGGAGGATAAGGACCCTGAACCCCTAAGCACCCTAAACCAAGTACGGACGGATGGAGACGTGTCTCGGCATCACGGACGGGTAGGTTTAGGGTTCAGGGTTTTGTGTTCAGGGTTGAGGGTTCAGGGTTCAGGCGTTTAGGGTTCAGGTTTAGGGTTTTAGGGTAGTTTTTCTGATCAGGATACCAGAGTCCACAATTTGGAGTAAGACTGTATATGGATTTCCCAAAAATAGAAATCCCCATATAATGATAATAGTGTTTGGGGGATCTGTATTGGGGTCCCTTGATTTATGGAAATGAGTATTCAAAGTAAGATTCTATCCACCTTTGGGTATCAACTGCACCAGTCGCCCAGTCTGCTTCTGGGAACATCTGGGAACCCTTGTAGGGACCACGAATGGGGAACATTCAGTAGTTTGGGGATGAAGCACCTGTGGAAATTAGGGTTAAAGGTTTAGGGTTTTAGGGTTTCAGGGTTTCAGGGTTTAGGGTTTAGGGTTTTAGTGTTTCAGGGTTTCAGGGTTTAGGGTTTAGGGAGCCTTCCCTGCAAATAGTGTCTGAGGATAATGACTGCTCTAATCGTGCCTTACAGGCATCTTCGCATACACCTCTAAGGCGCACAACAGAAAACAAGTGGGCTATAGTCTAAACTCCTGGTATCCCACTTAATAACCCCGAAACTAGTCTCCGCCCCATAAGGAGTTTAGACGATAGCTCATATAACCCTTAATATATAGCTCTATATATAGCAATTTCCATTTCACTTTCCATTTTCTCTTCCATTTGATTCTCCATTGTTGGGGCATATATCATCCCTTTAAAGAGTTTCGACCCTAAACCCTAAACCCTAAATCATATATACACCCGCTTCAAGGAGTTTTGACTATAGCACATGTTGTAGACAGGCACTCGGTGATGCCGAAGCAGCTCTCTTACACTCGACTCTCAACTTAAATCCTCAATCCCAATGCCTATGTGTTCAGGGTTTAGGGTTTAGGGTTTACTATACACCTTGACCAAACCTTAGCCCCAAAATTCTAATGCCACAGCCCTACCTCCTAAACGCCAACACTGATATGCTGACCTCTTCAGCTTAATCCCTCAAGCCAAAACCCCGAGCCATACCAAGCAGACCAAGGCGCCGAACACCTCTAAGTCAGCCATTCCGGGCTTGTCGCCGGCCAAGTAGGGTTTGTCCCCGAGAGCAGCATTCCACTTTGCACATGATTCCTAGGCATTGTGTTTTGCTTGAGAGCTTGCAGTGTTCAACTTTTGTATGTGGGTTTAAGCTTTAGGGTCTCAGGGCTTAGGATTTAGAGTTCAGGGCTTGTGGCAAGTATTCGTCTTCTTGGGGTTTAGGATACTTTGGCAAGTGATGAGAAGATGCAGAAGTTGGGGAAGCGAGTCGGTTTCCCGATGAAAGGTTTTAGGGTTTACGGTCTGGGGTTTAGGGTTGCGATGATTTACTGCAATTGCGATTTGGAGATTTCCAAAGGGCTTCTCCCTACAGAATCATACAGGAAGTGCTACAATCACCCTTCCGGAGTCCTTCAAAAAGCAATCCCAATGCCCCAGCTGTTGGAAACTTCTCCTTTTCCATTTCTAAAAATGTGTAGACTGGCATGCAGTCTCTGGGAACCCTAAACCCTAAATCCTAAACCCTAAACCCTAAACCCTAAATCCTAAACCCTAAACCCTAAACCCCAAACCCCAAACCCCAAACCCTCTCACAATCTAGGATCCTTCCATCAGACAATGCCTCGATTTGGAGGTCCCAATGCTTTGCATTCATCAAGTCCCATGGCTATTCTGGGTTGCTGTTAAGGAACTTAATTTAAGAATAGGGTTTAGGGTTTAGGGTTTAGGGATATTATCCCCCTATAATGGAGAATCAAATGGAAAAGAGAATGGAACATGAAATGGAAACTGGGGGAATATAGGGATTAAGGAGCTTAATTTAAGTTACTATATTGGGGAAACCCTATTATTTACTACATATACCGTTATGGTAGCTTAAATTAAGTTCCTTAACAGCAACCCAGTATTCCTCATTGAACTCCCCGTATGCTGAGCAAATGATAACCCTGAATTGAGGCCATGTCGGTGTCACCTTTTCAATAACAAGTACAGTAAGGGTGAATTCGATATGTTTCGCCCTGCATATGCCTTGGCATAAAAATGTTCCATCATGACCCGAGAATCGTACAGAGCTTCTCTCTCCTTGCCCTCGCTGATGCCGGCCTGCATAGCCCTAAACCTACACCCTGAACCTATATGAGCTAAAGTCTAAACTCCTAGTATTCCCCTCAAGAACCGCTACAATACTCCCCTATATTATCCGCTACATAACCCCCTCTAAGGAGTTTAGACTATAGCTCATATCCTACATCCTACGCACCTTAAACCCTAAATCCCCAAAAATCTTATCCCTAGACTCCCAAGTCCCTAAACATGCATCCAGAACCCTAAGCCCCAAAGCAACCGCTGAATTCTTTCGTAGTTGCCGGCCTTCTTGGCCATGCTTTTGGCCACAAAGAACATTGCGGCACCTCCAAGCAATTTGGCAATGGTTTAGGGTTTAGGGTTTAGGGTTTAGGGGGGTTTGGGGATCCACCCGCTAACTGTTACAGGTTCATAGCTAGGAAAATATCAGGGGTGTATTTTGGCTACCGCTCCGACTTAGTAACTTTTGGGCAATAAGCATCGGCTGTTGCGGGATAAGACCAGTACCCCAGGAACATTTTGAGTTAAATGACCCTAAAACCCTAAAGCCCATTTAAATGACCCTAACCTCTGAAACCAAACCCTGGGCCCTAAACCCTGAACCCTCAACCGTGTTGAGTGTTCGTGGCTGGGGAAGAAGAGCCCATCCTCTGCCCAGACCCCCTAAAGGATCCAAAACATGCAACCCCACCCCCTCCCCCCCCCCCCAAAAGAAAATCCAGTACTACATTGGGGAATGTAGGTGTTGATTAAGAGGTTCCAGTTTTTGGCTCCTTTAGGGGGTCTGGGTGTTCTGGGGCTAACATTCCTGCTAAGCCTGAAGCCTCTAAGCCTTACATTAAACTAGGGGACACTAAAAAAATATGGTCCCTTTTGGATCCCTCGTATAATATGGCACCTAATATTTAGGGTTCCCAAAATGGGATCATCATTTTTAACAACCACCAAGGTGGGCGCCCTTACGTAAGGCTCATGTGGGGGGAGCCCAGGAGTCTAACAGGGGGAAACTATCCACCTGGAAATTCCCCATGTAAACCTTCGGAGTACCCCCCACACCCCACCCTGTAATAGTGGACTAAAAGGAATATAAGAAGAACCTAATATAGTCCTTAGTATCCCTTCTAGCCACTATTACAGGAAGCAAGCATAAGCCTGAAGGCAAGGTAAGAATGCTGGTGCCCCGACGATCCAAGAGAGGCTCCAAGGTTTAGCCTTTAGGGTCTAGGGGGGACTCCCACAACAAGAACCTCTACTTCGTGGAAACTCCAGACCCCCTAACCCCAATCCCTATTCAGCGCTTCAATCCCTTTCTCACCTACGACTCCTGCACGGCAAGCTCCAAGCCCCAAACCCTGAACCCCAAACACCAAAATGCGGCGCCTCCGAAATATTTGGCAACTGTCCCAGACACCATGTCGAAGTTATCGCCGACCTTGCCAGCTATCCTGACTTGATCGCTGACTAGGGTTGAGGGGGGCACCCACTGGGGTAATATCAGGGTTATATTGGGAAAATGGGAAATAAAATGGAAACCATTATTTAGGGTTAGGGGTTTAGGGTCTAGGGTCTAGGGTTTAGGGGGGGTGGGGGCTGAAGGGTTAAGGCATAGCGATCGGGGTTTCGGGATGACGTTTTGGCGGTCTTGAAAGTTGATGCTTGAGGCTTTTTGTTTGGATAATGGAAAAGAAAATGGAAACTACTATTTAGGGTTTAGGGTTTAGGTTTCAACCTCAAGGTAAAAAGGTTGAGGGACGATTCTTGGGACTTGGGAAGTGTTCAAACATTGTGGAGATGCGATGCCAACCCATGGCCATACGTACGAAATTTGGAACAGGGGCCAAGAAACAAGAAATAGCGAGGGTATCCGGAGTGTAGAGCTTAGGATGTAACTACTTGGAAAACCTAAAGGCTTAAAACGACAAACATGCCTCACAACCGCACAGTTTTCCTAATCAGATCGTCCTAAGAATCTGTAAAGCTTCGCCTGGCGTGCGATAGATATTGGGCGGCAGAGTCTTCACAAGAGTTGAGTCTACCCACTGGCCCCACTCTGCATCAGCCTCTGTCTCACCACTGCCAATGACAGAGCCAATCTTTCGGATGATGTCAGCTGATCCTGTCACGATTTCACCGTCGACGTTTGCAATCGGCACCTTCTTGTAGTCGCCGGCCACACCATCAATTTCTGCTTTGGTGACCTAAGCCCGCGACGCTGGACCCCGAAAACAACATGCGCACACTGGGCCCAAAGATAGCTTCGACTGAACCAAACGTAGGAATGCTTCTTACTTGGAGGATCAGGGGGCTAAGTGAGCATACCCACAACCCTCTATCAACCATAAGATCTCCAACATGAACCTACCTACTAGGTCCGTGTGACCCTCTAAGTAACGTGGCACAGTTGAGGAGCTAAAAAGGACTATATGGTACTTTCCCAAAATAAGGAGACCCCAATATAGACCCTAATATACTATAATCCTTATTATGGGGACCCCCAAAAAGGTGCCCCTAATTTTGGGAAACCCCCATATAGGGCTTCATAAAACTTAATGTGCTTCTAAATCTGGAAGGGGTACATTTGGGGGGTGGGGGTTCTATTGTCATCCCTTACCCTAAAACCCTAAACCCTAACCCCGAAACCCTAAACCCTAAACCTTAACCTAGCACAGACACAGGGTTTACCTCCACCTTGCTCAGCTTCACACCGTTGTAATCGCAGTATGCCTCAGTTGCAGTCCCGGCGCTACTAGGTTCCCCAGTACACCCTGAATAGTAAGGGCACCCTTTTTCCTACTGTACTGCTTTAATAAGGAGACCCCAAATAAAAAGGAGAAAAGGGTACTGCTGGGGTACCGAATATGGGGTATATGGGGATCTTATTATAATATGCCCAAAGCCATATTCTATCTACTTAAGGGGGACTTAATTGAACGGTTTTAGGGGACTCAGTAAGGAAACGAACAATGGAAAAACATGGAAACTACATCAACACTGAATGGCAAGCACCATACCATACCGTGAACCTCAACTCCTCTACAAAGGTATTCGCCGCCAAATCCAAGAAAGAAAACCACGGAACGCGACTACCGTTCATAGGTATATAATAGTTTTCTCAGCATGACAGGTCCCTTTTTGGGCGTTTCTAACAAAATTGTCACGGGGGAATTTGAGCGACCCCGATTTCTAGCTGGACCCTGAAGGTAGTTTCCATAGATGCAGGACCCCAGAAAAACAAACAAACACACTCCTCATAATAGGGACTCCCCAAAAAAGGACGCCCAATTTTCGGAAACCCTTAACTCTAAACCCTTATCCCTACAGCCTCTATTCCCCTACACACAACCCTACATCCGCTACAATCCTGCTTTTTAGCCAGCCTGGTATTTGGCAGGATACTTCACATTATCCTCCTAAAGCTCTATATCAGTCCAGACTAATATGTTCATCAAATCATCCGAGCTGCACGGACCTTGCTGCAAAAAGGACAGCTCTCAAACTGGTAGAGCTGAACTTGAGGACTCGCCGCTGCTGTCCTGGGACTTACAGGGACTTTGAGATCTAAGGGAAGAGACTTTTGGATTTGGGGATTCTGATGGGGTCCTGGGACTTCCGTATGAGGTTGCGGGAATTTAGCAAGTTGGGGGGCCTGAAGGGATTTAGGGAACACAGTATGCTCAGGGTATGCGGAGGTCTCCTCATAATCGGCTACGCTGCAAACGACCTCTCGAAACCTTATTGACCCTCCTAAACTCTACACTGGGTGGGGCTAATGGAATGACGTCACGAAGAATTTCCTATACCGTGTCCCGGACTCCCCCAAACCTTCCCTGCAATCTATTCTAATCCTCTCCCCCCAATATGAAATCCCCCACCCCCTAACATCGACTACTCCCCAGATATTTTAATATACCACAATGGGGTGTGCATTAATATTATGGGGCGTTGGTGGGTTTAATATTGGGGGGAGCGGCTTAAGGATTCTTGCCAGCTTTTAATCAGAAGCCTAAAGTCTTATTAATGGATCCGCGTTGAAACCTGGGTGCGTGACTTAAACCCATGTGAGCAACAACATTACCCTTCCGCAAGACTAACATAGACCCGCACAAAAAATGACCCCCTAAAGACCACTGTCCCTGTGAAATGGGCTATACTACCCCCCTACCTCTAAACGCCAAACAGCATCACCTAAATCCTCAACCCAAAACCCTCCACTGATCCCTAAACACCTCCCCCTAAAACCTAAACCCTAAAGCCTCCACTGATCCCCAAACACCTCCCCAAACCACCCTAAACCCTCCACTGATCAAGCGTCCCAGCCAGTCTTGGAACAAGCGATCGCCTCTCAAGATTCCAGCCAGCGGTGAATGCAGTGGCCGACAGTAGAGCCTCGTCTTCTAGGGCTTAGGTTGAGGGACGATAGAGTGAAAGGAATATGGGTTCAGGTTCAGGGAAGATAGCGGGAAAGGAGTTGGGTGCAGGGTTTAGCGCCTGTGCTTGGTTGTCTTTACAAGGAAAGGAATATGAGCCCTGGACTAAATCCCTTAAATAGGTCCCCCTCTACCCCCCTATATATCCCCTATGGGTCCCCCCAATCTGAATGTAGAGCTATAGTCTAAACTCCTAGTATCCCCCTTAATCCCCTATACAACCCCACTTTTAAGGAGTTTAGAC